CCATACCCTGTTGTCAAGATTACAACACCCGACACATACCAGATCGGGCTTCCACCAGGGCTCAAACTGCACGACGAGTTTCACGTATCTCGCCTACGACGCTACACGCCAGACGACTCTGCTACTCGTGACAACCGCGTTTCAGTATTGATTAAACGCGACGGCAGCCTCGGGTTACAAGTAAAACAGATTCTCAAGCATCGAGTTCGTCGCGGTGTCGACGAATACTATATTCGTTGGTATGGCAGTGCTAACAAAGATTCATGGGAACCTGCAGAATCGCTTGTCCAAGTCCGCGGGCTCATCGATGCATTCCACGATCGCGAAAAGCCATCACGGCCCAGGACTCGCTCTCAAGCGGCTCACACCACCACTACGCTGCTTTCCTAAAGGAGGGAGTGTGACAGTACACCATGGAATCCACGACTTCTTTGGCTGCTTTCTGATTTAGCGTCACACGGAGCGCACTACTCATCATGCAGCTGACATCCACGATCAACGGCCTGGAGACTCATCTCGAAGTTGTAGGCAGTTAGCTAGCTTTACATTTGCTCGTGCGCTCTCAATTCATTCTTAAACTTGCCACTTGAGGATCACCCGAGCTCGAACTCGGCAGAGTTCGTGACAACACCCTTGACATACTCCGGAATTTACATTCCATTTTTTTTTTTTTAGCAATATCCATTTACTAGGAATTGTGCTGTGGTCCCTTCATGGAGCTGTCTGATCACGTTGATAAAATCTTCTGAAAAATCGTACTCGCGCTGTACTTTGATGAAGATGGTCAATGGAACCTGTACGCAGCACAGAACATGAGAACATGAAATTAACAAATACGGGGGACTACAGATCCACTGTGGAAAACGTAATTGTGCAAGGGGTAACTGCTATCTCTGCAAACGCTGAACCTGCTAAAGTCTGGCTACGACTAGAGAGAACAGAAGCGATGAAGCCAAAATCAAGACAACAACATCAAATCGAAAACAAGTCGACAACGTACGAAACGCACTACACTCAAGCTCTTGGAAACTTCTTCGCGATCCAATGGGGAAAACCCAAGCTGGTGGCACTAGACCCACTCAAGCACTTAGCAAAGTCACAGAGGGCGATCCAGTACAATTTCAGCTCTGACCCCGCTTCATTGACTAGCCCAAATGCGGAGTTACTTGGAACGGACAGCCGAGCTTCTCAATACAACAGGCACCAATCTCCCAACAAGTGACAACTCAAAACGAAAGACGAAGTCCATAATGGACCGTCTAAATGCATGTCAACACAGGCTTCTATAGGGTAAATAAAATCACAAATAGAAGGCCAGATTTCTTTCAAAAGATACAGTTAGAGTTGTTACGATTTTTTCTACCGTTTTTAACTTTAAGTACGTTAAAATCCCTACTTTGGTTAAATACCGTTAAATACTTGATGCGCGGTTGCTGTTTTTGTAATTTCACATTTTCTTGCTCAGACGGTATTTCCGCAGCAACCGCCGAGGCTGATCGCTTCAACCTGATCGCAAGACCTCCTTGAAGCAAGCAGTTTTAAGCGCTCCGCTTAATGGAGCGGTCCACCGGAGTCTCCT